TATATAGTACCAGTGATTTTAAAATCACTTAATATGTATTTTTCTAAGCTCTGTCCTATAGGCCTAAAAACTGAGAGCATATTTACCAGAAGAACTGTTCAAAGTTCTGGACTAGGAGAAGCAAAACTCAAATTAGTATCATTTTCATAAGCAGGAATTACATGAAACACTGAAACAGGATATAATTATTATTATTATTATTTTTGAGACGGAGTTTTACTCTTGTTGCTCAGCCTGGAGTGCAATCTCGGCTCACTGCAACCTCTGCTTTCCTGGTTCAAGCAATTCTCCTGCCTCAGTCTCCCCAGTAGCTGGGATTATAGGCACCTGCCACCACACCCAGCTAATTTTTGTATTTTTAGTAGAGACAGGGTTTCACCATGTTGGTTAGGCTGGTCTTAAACTCCTGACCTCAGGTGATCCACCTGCCTCGGCTTTCCAAAGTGTGGGATTACAGGTATGAGCCACCATGCCTGTCCTGGAGTATAATTTTTAAATTGAGGGCTGGGGAGAGAAGAGAGAGGTGATCTTCTGAACACAGAAGAGGCCTGAGAGAATCTGGAAAGACAAAACGACCCTGACTATCCCAAGGTGAGAGGTTCAAGGAGAGGTTCAAGGAGATCAGTTTTGCAGTCAGGAAAACCCAAGCATTCTACCTTGAATGAAGTTACTAGATGTACAAAGAGGGGAGAGCACAGTGCTATGAGGTTTTTGATATGTTTGAAAGAAAACATTTTAAGGAAATGTGCTGCACAAATACACTACCCATGATGGTAATGACGTGATCTTAATGGTGAAGTAAAACTCTATAGACCAGAAGCAATACTACAATCAGGAAGAAAATGAACTCCTCTGGTACTTTCTCCAAAACTTAAAATCCTTCACTTTTTTTTCCCCCTGAGACGAAGTCTTACTCTATTACCTAGGCTGGAATGCAGTGGTGTGATCTCTGCTCACTGCAACCTCCACCTCCTGGGTTCAGGTGATCCTCTCGCCTCAGCCTCCCAAGTAGATGGGAGTACAGGCATGTGCCACCACACCAAGCTAATTTTTGTATTTTTAGTAGAGATGGGGTTTCTCCATGTTGGCCAGGCTGGTCTTGACTCCTGACCTCAAGAGATCCACCTACCTCAGCCTCTCAAAGTGCTGGGATTACAGGTGCGAGCCACTGCGTCCAGCCAATCCTTCACATTTCTTTGGAGGGAATGCTAAAATAATGGTTTCTGTTTCCTCTGCACTCCAAATGAGACAAGTGAGAATAGAAATATTATAATTTTAACACTATTTTAAAATGCTTTTCAAGCCAGGCAGGGTGGCTAATGCCTGTAATCTCAGTACTTTGTGAGGCTAAGGTGGGTGGATCACAAGGTCAGGAGTTTGAGACCAGCCTGACCAACATGTTGAAACCCTGTCTCTACTAAAACTTAAAAAAAAAAAAAAGCCGGGGTCAGGCACAATGGCTCACACCTCTAATACCAGCACTTTGGGAGGCTGAGGTGGGTGGATCACCTGAGGTTGGGAGTTCAAGACCAGCCTGACCAACATGGAGAAACCCCATCTCTACTAAAAATACAAAAAAATTAGCTGGGCATGGTGGCACATGCCTGTAATCCCAGCTACCTGGGAGGCTGACGCAGGAGAATTGCTTGAACCCAGGAGGCAGAGGTTGTGGTAAGCCGAGATCGCACCATTGCACTCCAGATTGGGCAACAAAAGCGAACTATGTCAATAAAAATTGAGCCCAGGAGGTCGAGGCTCCAGTAAGCCGTGACGGTGCCTCTATACTCTAGCCTGGGTGACAGAGACCCTGTCTCAAATAAATAAATAAATAATAAAATCCTCGACACCTACAACAAAAATTAGGCTTAGCGTTTTCAAATTTTTAATATAACACTATCAACAGTCCCTTATTTATTTATTTTTGAGACAGGATCTCACTCTGTTACCCAGGCTGGAGTGCACTGGTGTGATCTGGGCTCAATGCAGCCTCGACCTCCCAGCGCAAGTGATCCTCCCATTTCAGCCATCCGAGTAACTGGGACTACAGGCATGTGCCACCACACCCAGTTAAATTTTGTATTTTTTGTAGGGCTGGGGTTTTGCCATGTTGCCTGCTGGTCTCAAACTCCTGAGATCAAGCGATCCACCCTACCTCGGCTGGGATTACAGGTGTGTGCCACTGCCCAGGCCAAGCAGTCCCTTACTAATTCCTCCAAAATAAACATCAGAAAAGCAGCCATTAGTCTTAATCTTATCATCTTATTTCAAAACCATCCGCCGCTTTCACTTTTTAAATACATCTTTCCTCTACCTCCTACAAATTTCTCTAGCTCTCACGGTAGTGAGCATTTTCTTTAGGGCAGGGCACAGAGAACACACTACATTCTTTTTTTTTTTTTTTTTTT